TTTTCAAGAAATGCCAGAAATCCAGATTTTAAGTGAAATTCTGATATTTAAATGTTGACAACTAATTCCAAACAATTTTAAAAGCGAGCGGAGGTCACACAAAATATACCCACAGGCTTCATTTGGTTCAAACATAGCCACCAGTTTGCAACCTGAACAAAACCAGCTCAATAAATCAAACACAACCTTTTCTCTGTACTCTGTCCTGTCTCTCTCCCACTCAGAGCCCCCACCTCCCATACCCGGGGCCACAGCCTGTCCCTTTCCTTATCCTTTCCGTTGTCTCTTTCTGTTCCAATCTTCTTCATCACTCCTAAGAGATGGAAAGTGAGATCCACACATTAAATCTTTATGTGGCCCTGCTGTATCACTGGACAGGCTTCCATGCCTGGGAAAACTCAGGTTCTAAATTGTAACCTGAGGCTGTAGCTCCATGATGTCAAAACTGGTTGGTTTAGTGGAATCAGAAGAAAAGTCAGTCAAGCTAACAATTTCGCGTCACTAAGACTTTATCAAACAACATACAGAGGTCATAATTTAATTTCTGGTTGTGTTTTGTTTGCTTTTAAATCTAAACCACAGCATATTAGAATTATCCCTTTTGTTGTTTTTTGAAAAAATTCCCATCTCTGGGCTCCACCCCAGGCCAACTAAATCTGAATCTCTGGACATAGAGTCTGCACACTGGTAGCTTTCAAAAACGCCAACTGAGTCTAATGTGAAGCCAGAGTTGAGAATCACTAATCTAAAATCGCAGGTTAGCAGAGTGTTTAACTCCAGATGGTTATCATCTGGAATAGTTCTTTTAACTTGTTCAAGGATTTTCTCAGCTCTATTCTCATTGTATCTTCACAACTCTGTGAGTTCGGCAGCTCGGACACTATGCTTAGCACTGAACAGATGAGAAAAGGAGGCTTAAAGATGTTAAATGAACTACCCAATTATACTGAGCTAATTATTGGCAAAGACACATTGTACCTTCACTGGAGGCAGAGTTCCTTGATTGCAAGCCCAGCACTTGCAAAGTTTCCCCAAACCGTGGTGACTTTGCAGTCACTGAATTCCTTTACTATTAGTAAGTAACCCTAACATAGAGGTGGTCTCTAAAAAACCAAGGAATATAATGAGATAAGATTTCAGAAATAAGTATAACAATGTTTTTAAAAAACTCAATTTAGGGTTAGTGTTCCAAGGTGTCTTTTTCTGAAGTCCATGATGCAATTTTGAACGTGCTGACATGCTTCCCTTACCCTCACACCACCTTTCATAGATGCATATTCTCCCAGAGACTGAAAAGATTCAGGCAGTTTCTATTAAGATATTATTTTCAGAAAAGTATTTTTAAATGATTAAATATTCATAGAATATCAGAGGTAAGGGGAACTTTACTGATCAACTTCCCCACCTCCTCTGATAGATGAGAAACCTGAAGTCCTTTTTAATTCAATATATATGGAGTGCTAACACAGAGCCAAGCACTTCACATCCATTATCTTAATTAAATCTTCAGGATAACTCAATAAGATGGGTACCACTATCACCACCACCACCATCATCATCATCATCATTCCCGTTTAACAAACAAAAAAAGCCCTGAGGTTTAGAGATGCTAGACCACTTGCCCAAGGTCCCTGGGCTGGTAAGTTGAGACCTGGGATATACATTTGACTCGAAGCCTACGGCCTTATCCTCCACCTTCCATCACCAGGAGTGACAATAGTGCAAAAAGTGAAAGATAAATCATTATAAAAATGCCAAGAGGCGATCAGCGAACACTTATTTGAAGAGGTAGAGAAGTGCTATTTGGGCTAGGGCTTCACAAATATATAGGATTTCAGTAGACATTCCAGTCTGGAATCAACACTGATATTGAGGCAGAAAAGTGACAGGAAGGGCATAGGGTGAACTGGGAGAAAGAGAGGGTAAGGGGCGAGGAGTCAGATTGTGGAGGGTCCTGAGTGCCTGGCTGAGGAATTCAGACTGTAATTGAAGGCAGTGGGAGCCCCCCGAAGGTGTTTAAAATCAAGGTCATTGAAAAATGTGAACTGAGTTTTAGAAATACAGATCTCATGAAGTGTCAAGATTGAACTTGGGGAGCAGACCTTGGTAGTGGGGAGACCAACTAGAAAGCTGTCATGCCTCGCTAATCAGCTTCTTCACTCTTAATCACGTGTTGCACTTGCACCTTCCTCCTCTGAGTGCTGGGTTCTTCAGGGCACCTTCATGTCTGTTTCATGATTCTTATATCCCAGTACGCTACCTGAATTGCCATGTCGAGGTCGGGCGACAGGGACCTGAACTTGGGCAGTAGGAATGGAGATGAGAAGACAGCTTTGAGGAGCATTTGCAAGGGCCTGGTAACTGCTCAGAAGTGAGCAGACGAGAAGAGAGAAAGAAGAGCAGAGTAGAAAATGACTCTACCGTTTCAACTCAGGAGAAGGGGAACAAATAATGAGATACAGAAAGGAAAGGATGGCAACAACTGAGGTGGCAACATAAAGAGGTGAATGAGATGGCTTGGCCATGATCTCAATCCAACAGGCATTTATTAAGCAGCCACTCTGTGCTGGGCATTAGGGGAACAATAACGAGTTAGACTGGGTACTGCCCTCAAATATTACCGAGCAAAAGACAAGACTAGCTATAGCCAGAATGCCTGGCCTCCTAGTCTCATGACAAATGTCACCCTCTCACACAGGCCCTCCCAGATGGTCGTCTACCTCAAGCACCCTCCCCCATCACATGAGCCTGTTTCATTTCTTTATTGCACTAACAAGTATCTGAAATTCATTTGTATGTGCCAGCATTGTCTCTTTCCCCCAAGAGAATGGAGGTGTCACAGAAGCAGGAACTTTATTTCCTTGGCTGCCTGCCACACAATAAGCTCTCAGTAGGAAATACTCACTGAGTACGTTGAAAAAAATAAGTGAATAAAACTCATCAAGGTTAAGACCTCAAACCAAACTAGGCGGATTTCCGGATGTCTAAGGCGGCATACTGAGAACTAAAGCGACCCTGAAGAGTAAAGCCATTTTGAGGAGGCCCACACCGGATCAGTGGCCCGACTTGGCCGTTTTGCATGGATTTCAGGAGAATCCACCCAGCGTGAGATGTTTAACAATAAGGCCAGCCAGCCACCTAGCTCAGGTTTTATTTCCGTTGTCCTTCTGACGTCAGAAGCACGAGTTGCCGCACGGTTTCTTCCATCAAGGTGACAAATTACAGCCTTGCTGGGCCCTGCAGCCTGAAAATCATAGACTGATTCTCTCCTCTCCCTAATATTAAAAAATTTAAAACCGACTGCAGAGATGTCAAATCCCCTTCCAAATGCAAACAAGCACCGTTTCCTAGCGCTGGGGTCTTTTTCGCTCTTCCTCCATCCATCACCACGGACTCGTCTGAAAAAGTACATGATCTCGGCGGCAATTAGGCTTCCACCGGAGAAACAGCGCTATAAAAACTGGGTCCGCGCCGCAGAGCGAGACACAAAGGACTTTCAATTGTAGCACCACCTTCCCGAGCCGAAGACAGCCTGTGAGAGGCACCCCGAAACGCCGTGACGCTGGGACCGCGAAATTCCTTTTGCCGCCATATGCACTCGCACCTTCTCTGGCTACAGCTCAGCCCAAACCCCGGGCGGGCGGTTCCACGGGGAATAAGCGCCCAGGTAGCCCGCCCCGTAGCCTGTGGGGTCCCAGTGGGTGCTGAGGAGCCCGATGATCGGGGGGAGGAGGATTATAGGAAGGGGGGCGCCCCGGGGCGCGCACTTGGGCGAAGGAGCGCTTTCCGCTCGGCACCGACGCGGCGAGTTGAAAGGCCTTTTGTGGCAACGTTTAGGGAAGCGAGCGAGGTGCGGGGGGTGGGAGGAGGGGGTGGGAGGGAGGTGAGGGCAGTCCGCGCCCGGGCCCCGCGCAAGCAGTGGCCTTTTGTTCGCCAGCTCCGGTGGATCCCGGCTCTCAGATCTGCACTACTCTTTCTCCCCTCCTTCATTTTCGAAAGAACCTCTTCAGGGCGGGAAAGGGCAGTGAGTCACTGCCAGCATCCTTTAGTCATCCCCCCCCCACATCCTCCTACTCGCCGTGGTTACTGAGTGAGGGCCAGAGCTCGAGGAAGGGGCGGCAAAACGTGCCCCTGATGACTCGCGCTCCGCGGCTCCCTTCCCCAGCCGGCGGCCAGTCCCCGAGACCCAGCCGGCCCACGCACACCCCGGGGGACATCACATGCTCACCTCTGGGCCCTGCGGACACGGAATCCCCCCCAAATGTCCGGGATTCAAACATTCTTCGGGTATGCAGTCGCGACCTCAAGTCGGCTGCGCTCTCCCTCCAGACCCGCGTGGTCCCTGACCCGCGTATAATTTAACCAGATCTGGTGCCACACTCAGCTACTATGAAAACTGACCAAAAAAGTAAACCACAGCCCACGCAAAGGTGAAATCAGGGGCCCCTGCGCCTCCTCACGCTGCCGCGTGCGTTGGGAAGAACAGAGGACCTGGACTTTTCCTTTCCTAAAAGCAAAAGGCATCCGGCACAGCCGCGCACTCCTTCCTTTCAAGCCCGCATGGATGACTTCTACATTAGCGCCTCCTCTCACATCTAAAACATCCCTTTCCTCCCCGCCGCCACTCCCTCAGCTTTCCCCGGGCACGGAAAATCACCTTACCTCGGGCGGTAAGGAGAAAAGTGGCAAAAGGAGACACCAAGGTGTCCGTCCTTCCGGGACTTTCTCCTGGCCGAGTGATGTCCTTTGTGTCAAGGTCTGGCTGCCTCGGCCGGGAAGAGGTGGCCTCCGTCAGCGAGGGCTGGGCGGGGAGGCTTGGCTTGGCGTGGCGGATTTCTGAGCAAGGTGAAGGGCGGAGGTTCGCGGCGACCTTCAGGCAGAGCGGCGTGGCTGCCCCAGCCCGCGCTCTCCTGGCTCTCTTCCTTTCCGGGCCGATTGCATCAGAATCTTCCCCCACCACTAACCCCCACCCACACTCTGCTCGCCAGCCTCGCACTTACATCCACACGCTCGGGCGCCGAGGGTCTCGAATCGTACTCATTCTCCTACTGGGGGGCGCGCCGCCCTTGCGCATCCATGGCTCGTGATGGTTTAACGGGGAAAGTCAGGCCATTCCTCCGCGTCCCGCGCGCCGTCGCTCTTTAATCACAGCTGTGTGTCACTGAGCGGTGCCCGTCACATGGTGTCTCTGCTGGCGGCCGCGCCTTGCTGCCTCTCTCTTGCCGCTCGCTGAGGATGCAGCGACCGCGGCTGGCGGAGATTGAGCATCGGGGAAGGGGTGAGGGAGGGGTTAGGGGCGCGCGTGTGCCGGGCGCACTGGCGGTGGTACCGGCAGCGGAGGCTGCGCGCAGCCTGGCCACCTGGCCTACGCCCCCCTGGGGCCCGGCAGTGAGCCCAGAAACCAACTGCGGCGGCAGCTGGAGACTGGAGCCCTTGGGGATGGAGGTGGGAGCGGCTAACAGGGCGCGGGAGGAGGAGACGAGGTGGTGCGCTGGAGTGGGGGGCATTTTGGGGTACGCCAGAGCCGGGCCGGGGCCGAGGAAGCGAAGGGAGTTGCATTGTGGGAAGGGCGCCGCATGAGGATGGCCGCTGGAGTGGCTGGTCCCCGCGCAGCCCCGCGAGCCGCTGGCAGCGCCTGGAGCTGCGGGCAGCGATGAAGCGGTGTGTTGGCTCTGGGGTCGGCACCGAGACGGCCCGGGCTGGCGGGAAGGGCACCAAAGCGGCCGGGGGAGCAGAGAGCGCAGGCCCCTTTGGAAACCCTTTGTCCCTAACCCGCAGTGGGAGTGCCTTCCCTCTTCCGGATCCAGCACCCGCAGCCCTCGCCAGCCCTCCCCGAGATCTGTGCTGTGGAGCTCTGTTTTGGGGACTGGGTGTGACGCGACCTGAAGGATTTGCTGAGCTCGGAGCGCGCACCTGCCTAGGCGCGGAGAGGCGGGAGCCCGCTCTCGCCCCCCCTGGAGACCCCACATATTCCACCCCCGGGTCAACTGGGCAGGGACGCTCCAAATCCTGGCGGCAGGATGAGCCGGGGAGCAGGCTGGAGGGGACGAGGGCAGCTGGGTCCGTTTCCCTTCCTTTTGCTTACTCTTTGTTCCAGGCACAGCCCCTTTAACTGACTGGGCACTTCTTTGCAGGGAGTTGTGTTTCCTTAAAATGGCGACAGGAAATCCCACCTGCGCGTCAGCCAATTAGACTGTCATTATAGCGCGAATTTGCCGGTTGGAAACGAGCTTTTTATTGACAGGAATGGTTCAGTCTCCGTGTTCCATCAAAACAGGAAAAGGAAGGTGAATCATCATTCAAAATTAATCTACCTGGAGCGTTTCAGGCGGGCGGACTGAGTAGTCACTGTAATGGAGTGGCTGTCGCTCTTTATCACCGCTGGAAAAGCGAGAGGACAACCAAATGTCAGCCTCTTCAGAACTAAAATCCTAATTCCCGTCGAATGGCGGTAAATGGTCTTTATTAGTTCAACAGTGGCTTCCTGAGAACCCTATTTAGAAGGCTGGCTCTTGAATAAACCTGAGAAACTGTAAAGTCAGTGCAAGCAGAAGGGGACACAGGGATGGGCAGCCTCGCTGGGTAGACCTGCATTCAAATTCTGCCTCTGACGCTTGTTGCTTCCCCCACCTGCTTAACTTTGATCCTAGTCCCGTTTTCCCAATTTGTGAAAAAGAGGGTAAATAGTACCCCCATCATGTTAATATCCTACAGGTCATCAAAAGGTTGGTCCTTTCCCCCTTCCTTCCTAGAGGAAGCTAATTTAGTATTAAATTACTAATTTTAAATAGTGTACACCTTGCCTGGCACAAATAATTCTTGTGAATAAGGTTAAGAAATCCGAATAGGCAAAGTAGGTAAAGTGTGAGCAGAGCTCCATAAGCCCATTGAAATGTTTACCTCATTAAGCACAATGTGTACACACCAATGTTTGTTTGGAGAGCGTTGGATTTCAAGCTTATCTTTTGATTACAGTTTTAATTTACTTGCTAGTTTCAATGCACCAAAAAGACTGCAGTCACCTAGCAGTTTTTGAATTGGATTCAATGGTGATGAATTGAGTTCCTACTCCGTGCCAGCTACTGTGCTAAGCACTTTACATGTAAATATGATCTCATTTAACCCTTTCAATGACTGAATTGGGTATTATCTTCTTCGTATAAACAAGAAAGCAGGTTCAAAACGGCTCAGTTGGCCATGTTCACCTAAGACAGTAGGGGCTGAGATGGCGAGTGAGGGAGGGATTCCTGTTCAGGTCTGAATCCAAAGCCCAGCTCAGTCTCAACCGTGATGCTACAACCATGTGCAACCAGACGCTCTTGGGCCTGGAGTTTCACCCCTCATCTGGATTTTAGTTGACACCCTGCAACTGGAGTGTAGACATCAACGCGGAGGCTAGACTGCTGCTGTGTGGAGAAGTGGGGGAAAGGAGTGGGGAGGAAGTATTCAGAACCAGTGCTGGATAACTTCAGTATGAGGTTTTCTCCAGGACTGCTGTCGGTGAAGCTTCCTTTCAGTGGCTCAGCACTTAAACCCAATTGCTCTGGTCTCAAATGTGGGCAAAGGGTGTCACGACGACTCCTATGTTCACTGTGTGCTTACTGAGAGACAATCAACAGGCTGAGCACCTTAAAGATGGTCTCTCCTTTAATCCTCACAACATTCCGGAGAGGAGCAGACCATCCTCATCCCTGATTCAGAGGTTAGGGAATTGATCCCAGTCCACCCAGCTCTAATTGGCACATCTAGGTCTTGAATCTAGAGCTGACTCAAAGCCTATTCTCTTTGCCTGGCTCTAGAATGTTCCGCCATGCTGGAATAGCCTTCTGTGGAGGGCTAGGAGGTGGGATGCACCCAGGGCCACTCTGCCTTCAGATGAGAATTCCTCCCGTATCCCCAGAGAGCCCAGGGAGTCAATTTGCTCTGTAATAGGTTTGTGAGCTCCCAGGGCTCATGTTGATAGTTTCTAATGTTCTTTGTGGACTTTCCCAATTGAGTAAATTTCCCAAAATGGTACTGAGGTGGTCAGGACACATTAACAGGTATTATTGTGGGCTGCCCTGTGGAACTGAGAAATAAAATTCTGTGTCTGCTCTGAAAATGAGGCTGGAGAAGCAATCTGTACTGTAAAGGGAAAATTGGTTCACCTCAGGTCACCTGAGAGTTTTCTGGTGGCCCCATAGGCCTTTTCTGTATGGTTCTAGGAAGGAGGGGCAGCTGTGGGAAGAAGGGTCAATCCACCCCAAAGAGGATTCAGCCTGAACTTAAGGAGCATCTGCACTCCTCTCAGCTTCACCCTGCACTCATGGGGTTGCACTCGCCCGCCATCTGGGTTGCCCAACAGGACAGCTGGAAAGGGTCACACCAGCTGTGCGCTTCCAGAGAAAACATGCTTTCTGCCATGGATTTGCAAAGCTCTCCAAATACATCTGCCCTGATACTAGCAGACTTCTTGTGCATGGATTTTGAGTAATAGGATCAAAACTCTCTTTTGAATATATATAGTTTTTCTTTTTAATCTGTAAAGAACTGTCATAGGAGAGTCTAAATTTTAACAATGATGAAAAATAGAAAAATCAACTGGTAAGTTTATTTCAGAATAAGTGTCCTGGCCATTTCCTACTTGTAACAGAAGTAGCACAGCCATCTTGAACAAATATGACCTCATTAGAAAGTGTTATTTATTCTGAAATCAGTCTTTTATTCCTATTTATAGGGTCTACCCTCAAACAACAGATGGTCTTTAAAACTATTGGTTTGTCTTTGACTGATGTAATCACATTTCTTTGCCTGATTGACCCTTTTTTACCATTCTTGATGTTCCTTGAATCTCATCCATAGATGACAGTATTTTGACACTAGGAGTTAGTTAAGCAGCCACAGCAAAAAGTAAATTTGCAGCTGAAGGAGTCCCCACTTGTCTTGGCCATCCTTCTGCAGAGACATGGCGCTGTGTGTCCTACCCCACTGGGTAGCACTGTGACAGGGCCTACTGTCACCTCTTCCAGCATTGTCATCACCATTCTTTCTTGCCAGATTTGTAATTGGCTCTGGCAGGAGGTCAACAACCCCCACTGACTCTAAACTGCATTAAAATTAAAATCCCAGAGGGAGCCTCTTAAAAAATGTCTATTGTCTCTGATTTTGGCCCAGCTTAGGTTTGTAGAGTTGCTTATTTTTTATCTGTTAGGTGAGCAGGGAGTCGGTTTCATTAGGGATTGTGTCTGTAGGGCAGTACAGTCTCATTCATTCAAGGTAAACTAAAGAACCAAGGCCAGTGATCAGTCCTGAAAGTTTAATGTCTAATTTACCTGACATTTATGCATCATTCTTCAGGCCAATTGTTAAGTGCATCTTCCTAGCTTGTTGCCAAAGGGAGTAATGATACCCGTCTGATGATCAAATGACTCAGTGTCTGCAGAGTACTTACGGTAATGCTTGGTACATAAGAAATGCTCAATAAATGGTACCTGTTATTATTTTGCACACTTTGCAGATATAAGCACAGGGCAATGATTTTTCAAAGCTCCAGTTTATAGGCACAAAGTATTCTATTATGTTCACCCCATACTGAAACAGCTGTCACGCCCACACCTCTACTCCCATTCCTCCTCCTGTGGGCAAGAGGAGACAGAAGGTAGTAGAGAAGAGTGAGTCCTCCATTTCAACTCCCAATCTTACCTTTAAAGATTTTTTATTTGTTTATTTTTCCCCCAAAGCCCCAGTAGATAGTTGTATGTCATAGCTGCACATCCTTCTAGTTGCCGTATGTGGGACGCGGCCCCAGCATGGCCAGAGGAGCGGTGCGTCGGTGCGCACCCGGGATCCGAACCCGGGCCGCCGGCAGCACAGTGCGCGCACTTAACCACCAAGCCACGGGGCCGGCCCCCAATCTTACCTTTAAAGTGAGAAAGGGAAGCTTAGGATCTACATAAGAATGTATTAATTAAAAATTAGAAGTGTTCCAAAACCGAGAATAGCATCTGTACTTAGTAATGGTGCCAGTGTAAACCGGTACAACTTGTGTGCGGTAGCAAATTTAGTGGTTAAGGGTGTGGGCTCTGGGGCCAGATTTCCTGAATTCTAATCCTGGCTCCACAGCATACTAGCTCTGGGACCTTAGGCAAGTTACTTAACTTTTCTGTGCCCCAGTTTCCTCATCTTTAAAACAGAAATAAACAATAATACCTACCTATTAGGTTATGAGAAATATGTATGTTAATATGTGTAAACACTTAAAATAGTTCATGACATATTTTAAGTATTCAATAAACAATAACAATTATTACTGTAAAACAGTTTGGTAATAAATAGGGGGAACTTAGATCCCATTGAAGTCACTTCTGGGAATCTGCACCCTAAAAATAATGCACAAAGATGTTCACGAATAGCACAGAACGTAAGGTCACAGGCTTTGGAATCAGGCAAGTAAAGGTCAAAAATATGTTTAACAGCATTCATTCAAA